CGAGACTTAACCTGAAAGCTTAGTAACTTTTCCCACAGTGATTCAATGAATAAATATAAAAAGAAAAAAATAAAAAATAAATTAAGGTGGAGTTCATGCCCAATTCAATCAGCTAATCAGTGGCTGAATAAATAGCACTACTACAAAAAAAAAAGTTTGGACATTTTTTTCTTGTTGGGTTACACCCGGTGATGCACAGGGCTTACTTCTAGTTTACGCACTCAGGTATTACTCCTGGCAGTGCTCAGGGGACCATATGGGATGCTGGGAATCGAACTCGGGTTGGCCGTGTGCAAGGCAAACGCCCTACCTGCTGTGCTATCACTCCAGCCCCAAAAATATTTGGGCTTTTAAGAATAATTGAAAGATGTTTTCGTTGGTGGTGGGAGTTTCACTAATGGTTGAGGTGGTTTCATTGCTAGTGGTTTTCATTTGTGGGAGCTGGAAGGCACAGTTGGGTTGCAGGTGAAGCAGGCATTTCTTCCCTGGGTCCACCTGAGCCTGAGTGGGAAGGACAGTAAAACACCAGCTTTCTGGAGCCGCAGTCCACATCCAAATTAAATTTCCCACCCCCTGACATGCATTTGTGAACCCCCACTATTCAGGACGACGGAAGACTGGGTCAGGGTGCTGGGAACAGGAGGCAAGCACCCCCACACCTCCTCATCCCCTCCTGTCTTTCTGTCTGAGTCCCACAACATCACCTGGTCTTCTCCCGCTTTTCTGTGTGGCTGCAAGACTCCTTGGAGGAATGACATCTATTTTGACATCTGAGATGAATATGCATTTTAAAGTTCAGAGATTTGATTTTAAAGTAATGATTTGAAATCTTCCTTAACAATGCAAAGGGTTGATTTCTTGAATAGAAGCCCCTTCACATAGTTTAGGAGAATTCCAATGAAATGACAAAAAAAATAATATCTACAGGGTTCACTTGTTTAACAGACAAGCTGAATCATGGACCAACCTGAATCATGGGCCAGCCAGAGATGAACCCTCCAGGTGCACCTCAAAGATCAATGTCAACTCCAAGACATTCCTCCCAAAACAGCTACAAGAAAGGTGTCTAGAGATGATTCAATTTACTCTCTAACCCCCACTGCTGCAACCATGCACGCCTTGTATCACAAAACTTTAAATCCTATCCACGTGGAGGGAGGGTTGTGGAAGTGAAAAGGGAACCAAAATTCTGAGAGACAACAAGTTAGTTTCTGAACTCCAGTAGCCAGCTAAGACTTTGAAAGGGTGCCTACCAGGGCAGAAGGGAGACAACACTGCTACCCTCACTGCCTATTTGCACCGGGCACCGGGGGTGAACAAGTCAGGGGGCTGGTCAGCAGAATGAAGAAAGGAGGAAACAACTCATATCTATCTCCAAACTCCCTCCCTTACATCTGGGGGAGAGGGAAGAAATCTCAGCTCTCCAGCTCTGTACTATCAACTCTGCCAAAAGATTGCCTCTGGAAATTCACTCCCATGGCTAGGGTGAGGTGCGCGCCCTGGATTTGTGAAAAGAGGAATTTCTAGACCCCATCGAATGATTACTTTAAGAAAGTTCAAGAAGATTCAGCTGAAGAGAAGAACAACATGGAGGGCAAGATCCACAGATCCCGAAGAAAGAAAAAAAAAAAAGGTTCCAAAAAGAGCCGAGATCATCGGGAAGCCCCAGATGGGGTAGGTACCGCATCCCGCCTCCCCCAGATGGAACCCCGGTGACCAGAAGCCTCTACAACCACAGCTCGAGTATGCGGGAACTTGGACTTTTCCTCAAATGTGCCGGGACTGCAACTCCCAGGTAACCTCAGATTCCGGAAGTCACGCCCACAGCCCGCCCCCCAGCGCCATATTTACAACATTCAGCTGAAGAGAAGAACAACATGGAGGGCAGGATCCACAGATCCCGAAGAAAGAAAAAAAAAAAACAGGTTCCAAAAAGAGCCGAGATCATCGGGAAGCCCCAGATGGGGTAGGTACCGCATCCCGCCTCCCCCAGATGGAACCCCGGTGACCAAAAGCCTCTACAACCACAGCTCGAGTATGCGGGAACTAGGACTTTTCCTCAAAACCGCGCGACATCTCTCTATATACAAAGTGATCCATGGGAAGTAAATGACCCAACGTTTCTCTCTGAAAATCATAGTTAAGTTTGGAGCACGGCCACAGCCCCAGAAACACAAGGACTTAATGCATAACCCAGCAGCTTGGAGCAGAAAAGTGAACGGGCTATACGTTAATCCAGGCCATCATGACTGTCCGGAGGGGAAAGGGTGTTGCCCCATTCGCCCTCTCCTCTCTGGAAAGAAAGATGGCAGCCACATGGGAGCCTTGTGGACAGCAGGTATGAGCCGGGGGTGTGGGGGCGACTAAAACCTCATGGGAAGGGGGGCGTTCCGGTCCGTCCTTCACGCCCTACCGAGGTCACCAGTTGCCCCCCACTAGCGGCTCTCCAGCACAGCCACGGCCCCAGAAGCACAAGGACTTAATGCAGAACCCGGCAGCTTGGAGCAGAAAAGTGAACGGACTATGCGTTGATCCAGGCCATCAGGTCTGTCCGGAGGGGAAAGGGTGTTGCCCCAGTCGCCTTCTCCTCTCTGGAAAGAAAGATGGCGGCCGCATGGGAGCCTTGTGGACAGCAGGTATGAGCCGGGGGACTGGGGGCGACTAAAACCTCATGGGAAGGGGGGCGTTTCGGTCTGCCCTTCACGCCCTACCGAGGCCACCAGTTGCCCCCCACTAGCGGCTCTCCAGCACGGCCACGACTCCAGAGCACAGAAACCAATTTCTTAACTATCTGACTTTCAGTATAAATACTTCCAGGGTCAATAAGTAAAATTACAGAAATCCAAAACCAACATTTAATTCTTGAACCCAGCTGTAGAAAGCAAATCACTTCACAATGCTTTGTCAGCATGTCTGATTCGGGGGGGGGGGGGTAAACTCTAAATAATAGTGGTGAATCTTTTATTGAAACAATGAATCTAATCAAAGCAGATAGAGTGTTAACTAGAATTCATCTGCCCTACAGGGACTGGGAGGGGTGGGGGGTGGGGTTTTATTGGGGTTCTTCATGGTAAAAAATAAGTTTTGGTAAAGGGAAATGTGCTTGATATTTGCAGGACTGAGACCTAAACCTGAAAGCTTTGTAACCTTTCCCATGGTGATTCAATAAATAAATAAATAAATTATAAAAATAAAATAAAATAAAAATAGCTATAGCTTTCCCTATGTATTCTATGCTGTGAAATATGACTTTAGGATTAATATAAAAATTCTTAAAGTCAGCTATCAAATTTTTCATAGTTAAAAAGTTGTAATCTCATCCCAGTGGCATAACTGTCAGCTGTAATGTTTATAATGTCTAGCCACAGTATTCCTACAATACCAATTAAATACAAAGAATTCGGTAAAAAAAAAAAAATAATAATGTACCATCAGGGCTACATGTATTTTAAGAACTTCTATAATTGTATATATGCTTTTGATGTATTTTCCTCTGGAGATTATCGAGTGTCTCACCAGTGAAAGATTGTAATCCATTGGCATTTTGAGTAATAAACACGATTGAAATTGTTTCACAAACTATGTAAAGCAGTATTAAAATTTGAGCAAACAATGTTCTATATCTACTTGAATAAAATTATTTCCTTTTTGCCAGTGGGGAAAAAAAAAAAGTTCAAGAAGTTGAGACATTGTGCCAGACTAACTCTATATACAAGTATACAGAGTAAGCATCAACATGGTCTTGATTTTAAACAAGTTTAATAATATTTGCAATCTTGAATTTGAACTGCTTTTGAATCTGTATTACTCTGATTAAATGTGTGGCTAAATAATGTTTTGTAATAACAGTAACAACAAAGTCTCCAATGGAGACGTTACTGGGCCCGCTCGAGCAAACATAAGGAAGTCCTGTGAAAATTTACAAGGTTAAAATATTTGGACTGCTGCAGACTAAGGAAAGATATGTACCAGTCCCCACACCACAAATTTGCCACAGCAATTCTCCAAGCCCCTTTGAGAATTCAGTGAAAAATTCAGGAATCCACACCTGGGAGTAGGAGGTGAGGAGATGGAGTGGGAGCACCTCTTTATCAACTGACACTGACTTGACAACACTCCTGCCTCCAAATGCTGATTCCTAAATAGAGTTTCACCTTTTCTAAATAGAAAACGTACCTAATTTTCACAAGGATTTGCCCCTTGAGAACTTAAGCTAGAACTAGGATAAATAGTAAGTAGATTGGGGTCTTTTTTTGGCTTTTTGGGTCACACCCAGCAATGCCCAGGAGTTACTCCTGGCTCTACATTCAGGAATCACTCCTGGTGGTGCTCAGGGGACCCTAAGGGATGCCAGGGAGCAAACCCAGATTGGCCAAGTGCAAGGCAAGTGACCAACTCTTAACACAAATCTGGACAGTGCCATAGAACGTAATACTGATGCAACAAGACATAAAGATAAATGGCTGCTATAAGACGCTCTTTTGGGCTGAAATTATGTTCACAGAAGAGACAAAATATTAAAATGAATAAGAGGGACCAGAGAGAGTCCAGCAGATGGGGCGCTAGCCTTGCTCATAGCCGACCCAGGTTTGATCCCCAGCATGTGCTCAGGGCCTTAATGTGTGGCTGCAGTAGCCCTACCAGGGCGACACTCCAATACACTGAACCCAGCGGTCAGCAGGCTGATGGTTAGTGGACAGGAATGAAAACTCTGCAAAACTCTGAGAAAGCTGGTAGATGTAAAGTGTCTCCTACAACACATGGGAACTACGCTGGACAGTGAATGGTGGCGGCTCTGGTACTCCTCTGGGCACTCATCATCTGCCCAGTACCACTGCCTCTGTCAGTGTCCTAGTAACCCATTTAAAGGGACATTCATTGACCTGTGAGGTGTGAAAGGAGGGGAACCAGAGTCTGCTCTCAGGGAAGCCCACATGTTATTGTCTTATTCAAGAAACACATCTTCCCTGGGCTTTCTTCAGTTCCTGAAGAAAAAAAGGAACCCAAGGCACCCAACCACCCCATGTGGGCCCTTAAGGGCCCCCACCATCAGAGAAGCCCCCCTCCCCTGCCCACCTGGCTGCTTCCCACAGGGTTCCCAGTACATACACAGAGAAACGGAGAGTCACACGTGCTCATTCCTGTGCCTTTATCTCTGTTGCCACCAAACATGAGGATGATATGTGTGTGCTCATGGTCAGGAGGATGTTGGGTCTCCCTCCAGCCTCCTTTCTGGGTGGCAGAGCCAGGCCTCACAGGGCACTCTCGCCACCTCCCCGTCCCCTGGACGTCCCCTTCTCTTGGGCCATGAGGGACTTGTAGGGCTTCCCCAGGCTGGGAAGAGTCAGCTCAGCTTCCTGCAGATCCAGCTCCCTCTGGGACAAGTGCTCGATGACAGCTGCTCCGATGGAGTCCCCCAGAACGTTGGTCATTGTGCGCAGGCGGTCACTGGGTGGGACAGGAGATGCTGAGAATCCCCAAGAGTTTGAGAGGGAAGGAATTCTCTGAGGTCCCACGTTCTGGTCCAACATCTGAGCATTTACTCCCAGGCATCACCAAAATCATTCTCCTCAAAAAACAAACCCAGGATGGAACCTCTCCCAGTTTCCTGGAACTCAGCAATGCAATTTTGGTTTTTACCACCTGGCTGTACTCAGGGTTTGCTCCTGGCTATGTGCTCAGAAATTACTCCAGATGACACTCAGGGGATCCTGTGCCCTGATGGAGATCAAAGCCAGGTTAGCTGCATGCAAGGCAGGCCCCTACACACTGGACTATCCTTCACGGCCCAGTGCAATAATTTCTAAGATGTGATCATCTGGGCTGGACAGATAGTACAGCAGGTAGCGTACTTCCCTTATGCATAGCTGACCTAGGTTCAATCCCCAGAACCCTATTTGGTAACCCAAACACACAAGGAATGATCCATGAGTGCAGAGCCAGGAGTAAACCCTGAGCACAGCAGATAGTGGCGCACACACACACACACACACACACACACACACACACACACACACACGCATGCACATACACACAGGATGTAGCCATCTGATCCATAACATGAGGAACTGGGAGCTAGAGGAGGATGAGGAGTTACTGCATAACTAGAGAATCAAGAACAGCTGAGGGACCATGGGATGGTCTAAAACTAGGTGATGCCACTGCTCAGTTTTAAAGCCAAAATAGACTGGGCCAAGATAGGTGTGTGTTGTGGCTGTTTGGACACTTCTACACAGGTAGGCAAGAGAGGACTTTTCTGGGAGATGATCAAACGAACGAAACGGTATGGGCTGGTAATGTGGAGGAGGGCGGAGGGGGACGGTGGGGCGGGACTAGCATGGAGAACACTCACAGGAACCAGTCCACGGCGATGATGAGCGTGATGTCTTCTGTGGGGAGGCCGACGGATGTAAGCACAATGACCATGGTGACCAGCCCAGCCTGGGGGATGCCTGCGGCCCCGACACTGGCTGCTGTTGCCGTGATACTGTGGACAGAAGGAAAAAAGGAAGTCGGGGGGAGGAAAGGAAAGAAGATGGTAAGGAGTTCTTAACTCACAAGCTTTAATGAAAACAAATCAAGTGAATTCCCACAGGTACCAATGCAGTCAGTCCCCCAATATCCACTGGGATGGGATCAGAAGTCCATCCGCTGGTGGCGGCATGTGTATCCAGATAACTTGCATGGCAGGTGGTCATGTGGTCATCTCTGGGGGCTGGAAAGGGAAGCAGCAGAGAGCCAGGAAATGCAAGTCCCTCTCTGCACATCACACTAAAAAGAGGGGGGTCGTTGCAGATCTGTCTGCTGACAGGAAGGGAATAATGCCCACAGAAACCCTGGCTTCCCAGCCTCAGTCCGTGAATAGTTGCACATTGCGGCTGCCACAGGTTCTAGACTCCTCACACACAAGATGGTGTGGCCCCATCAATGGTTCGGGACCTGAGACCCCACCCCCACCCCACCCCTGCCACATCTCACCCTGTGCACTTGGATGTGCCTGATTTATGGCAGTGATCTGTTGGACAGTCACCCTAAGTGTTTAGGCTTCATCATTAAATTGCCCCTTTTCCTCCTCCCAGAGAAGCTTACAGTGCTTTTGTGAGCATCCCTAGTCCCGAGTTTATCTTTAACCTTTTCTTTGTGTTTTACCTCTCATTGTCACGGTTCCCCCAAGTCAGTCTTGGTTACTTATAAGCCAAAACTTTCTGGTAATTTTGGATTTTGTATTTATAGTGAATTACTTGCTTTTCTATTACCCCTATAGCCTTTTCATATTTTACTATAGAAATGTTCTTTGCTTAAACACAGAAATACCATTAATGCTAATATTTGAGAGTTGACTGACTCTGAAATATGTCTAATCCTGGGCATTTGTCATAATTACTCTACTCAGGTTTCAGTTGCTGTAGTCACTAATACCCCAAAAAGGAGGTCGTGCTGTGGGATTGGGATGGACCCGGGGCAAGTGGAGAAGCTACCCCAGCAACGAAATGGGACATTTTAGAAAGCATAAATGCATGGTCTTGATGCAAGACAAGAGACAAGACCCCCATGGGGAAGGACAAGCTGAAATGGCCTGAGGACTTAGCTTGGGATTTACAGTAAAAGCCTTGCTTGCTATCAGAGAACTAAGAGCCCAGAGAACTAAGTTTGGAATCTTTATCTCTTACTGTGTTTATCCAAACACTGCAAGTATTGGTAAGAAGTTGACTTAATTCAGAGCTGGAGTGATAGTACAGCGGGTAGGGCATTTGCCTTGCATGCTGCCAACCTGGATTCAATTCCCAGCATCCCATATGGTCCCCTGAGCACCGCAAGAAGTAATTCCTGCGTGCAGAGCCAGGAGTAACCCCTGTGCATTGCCAGGTGTGACCGAAAAAGCAAAAAAAAAAAAAAAGTTGACTTGATTGTTTGATTAACTGTTTGACTTAATTGTTTGATATGTATGATTAGAAGGAAAGGGAAAGCAATATAGATATCCCTGGGAGACAGAGCATCTCCTTGAGTTGATCTCCCCCAGAGAACTGCCTCTGCTGGAATGTTTCACCTCTATAAATCACCCAGAAGTGCAGTCCGACAACTCTGACCCCACCAGATATTCTATAAGGGTGCTAGCTGATCTCACTAAATGGGCCATTTTCACCATCAGGCTGTGGTCCCCATCTCTCTGTCTCTCTGCTGGGGAGGCCTGGGGAGGATTGGAGGTGGCTCTCAGCCACCGAACGGACATGTCTTCACAGCACCCACATATTTTGTGAACTCATAGTGATCTTTGAATCACTAACTGGACAATTCACAGAAACTTCAAATCATGGGTTCTTTTAACTCCTATTAAATGACTTTGATTACATGTTAGACACCTAACAAACTTTCTCAGAGATGAAGATGAGGGGTGAAACAGACTTAGTTGCTGGGGGGTGAGGAGGCAGCATTAAGGAAGAAAACAGATACCAAGGTAAGTGGGTTATAGGGAATCATCCACCTGCCAAAGTACAGACCAACGATTCTACACATGGTACTCACTGGACACACACTTACAAGGGGGACCCTGGGGAAAAGGAAACTTTTCTGGACACACTAGACATATTTTGAAACACAGTGGTCAGGAGGGCTGACCACAGTAGCAAGAGAGATCTGCTGGCACGGATGCCAGCTTCTGACAGCCTCTGCTGTGTTGTGACCCACACCACACCCTACTCTGGGGTGATGGGGCTCCTTCCCCAAGCCCTCTATAACCAGGACTCCCTCAACCTCAACCTGCCGTTACCCCCTCCAGTAGCTGCACTGGTGACTTCCAGCTCCACCTGCGATGCCATCCAGAACCCTCTCACCTGATGGTCGTGATCTGGCCCAAGTTCAGCTCATAGTTGTTGACTTGGGCGATGAAGATGGCAGCCAGGGCCTCGTAGAGGGCGGTGCCGTCCATGTTGACCGTGGCCCCCACCGGCAGCACGAACCTGGTGATGCGGCGGTCCACGCCCAGGCCCTCTTCCAGGCAGCGGAAGGTAATGGGCAGAGTTGCTGAGCTGTGGGAAAAAGGGCCAGGGGGCTGAGCACAGGAGAGTGGGTGTGTGGCCGGAGCAGTAGGGTGGGGGGAGGCGGAACAGAGTCAGCACCTGGAGCAGAGCACATGCCTCATTCCCCCAGCTGAGAGCTAGATTGGGAGGAGACCAGGCTCACACACAGTGGGGTCTACAGTCTAAGGAGCACTCGACCCCCTAAGCCAATTGCCATGGGATACTAGTGTGCTCTACTAACACTGGCCAGGTCAGTGTTCTGCTCCCCACCCCTCTGACTAAAAGGGACTCAGAGATCCCCATCAGCTTGTCCGTCTCTCCCCAGACTCCCCAGGGAGGAAAAGTGACTTCACTGATGAGCTGTCCAAGGAGTTCCCGCTAGCCACCAGACCGGGGTCAGCCTGAGTGGAGAACGATTGCCCTTCTGGGCTACATTCCGCTGCCAGTTACTTAACCGCAAAACAGGGAGAGAGGAGAGTGCAGAGGGTCCCAGGAAACCATCCCAAACCGACAGCAGCCCTGAACTAGAACATGGGGGACCAAGAAGAAGGGGTAGGTAAGGAACCCTTCCTGGAGAGTTCCAGTGTGTCTGACTTTGATACTTAACTCAAAAGACCATCTGCAGAACGGGGGAGGTGTGGAAGGAGCTCAGGAGAACCTGAGAGAGACCACACAGAGTGGGGAAGGGGGCCAGCAGAGGCGAGGTTATACCTGGAAGACGTGCCCATGGCAGTGATGAGCGCCTGCAGCATGCCCCCGACGAAAGGGAAGGGGTTCCGATGAGTGACAAGGAAGTAGATAAGGGGCAGGACCCCGCCAGCATGGAGGAGGAGGCCCACGATGACCGTCAAGGTATACATGCCCAGCTGGCCCCCCAGGACAGCCATGTCTTCCATCTCAAGAATCTTCCCTGCGATGAGGAACAGAATGCCCACCGGTGCGTACCTGGGCCAAGACACACACGTGTAAGAGCCCACATGACAAAACAATCTGGCCCCATGACTTGCCACCATCATCACATCAGTACTTCACCCATTCTGCTCTCAGCCCCGGCCAAACCCGTCACTGCCTTCCAGCTCCACAAATGCTATTCTCCAGTGCCCTTCTAGATCACCGACATCCCGACGACCTTCGATCAAATTACCAACTAGTCATTCATTCAGCAGCTGTCTACCTAGTTCATATATGCAGATATGGTACCCTCTCATAGAAATACTTAAGTTAAAATGTGTTAGTTAAAACTACATAGAGCACTGGAGAGATAGTACAGAGGATAGGGCACATTGCCTTGCATGCAGCTGACCCAGGTTCAATCCCCAGCATCAAGTATATTTACAAGAGTCCCACCAGGAATGATTCCTAAGCACAGAGCCAAGTGTAAGAAAGCTCTGAGCATCGCTGAGTGTGGCCCCAAAACAAAACAAAACAAAAACTGCACAGAGCAGGAGAATTAAATGTGATGGTGAAGGAAGGAGTATCAGAAGAAATTCTGGGCCTGAAATGAGAAGGAACAGTGTGCAATGTGGAGGGGGCCCCACAAGTGGACATTTCAAGGAGGGTGCAAAGACACTGAGTAAAGGACTGAGAAAGGTTGGGGCTGGAGCAATAGCACAGCGGGTAGGGCGTTTGCCTTGCACGTGGCCAATCCAGGTTCGATTCCCAGCACCCCATATGGTCCCTTGAGCACCGCCAGGAGTAATTCCTGAGTGCATGAGCCAGGAGTAACCCCTGTGCATCACTGGGTTTGACCCAAAAAAAAAAAAAAAGAACTGAGCCAGGAATGCAAGGGCTGGGGGAGAGAAGCCCTGAGGTGAGTCTTCGAGAGCTTCTAACCATTCCCGAGTTCTCTCCAGCTTTGCAAGTTCTCTTCCCTCTGCCTGAGGTGTCTCCCCTCCCTCCTTTACTTTCAAAGTTGTAATTTGCTGCATATGCCTTTGCTGGCTCTCCACATTTCCATGTTACCGACACTTTTTAAATGCCCTTGCCTATATATAGATACTTATGGAGTGAATGCCTGTCTCCTCTGAGACTCTGCAAGTCCCTTGGAGACAGGGAGACAGGGAGTGAATCTAATGCACCTGACACAAGACATCGCGATCATGATCACGACCATCCTGTTGTTCATCGATTGCCTCAAGCAGGCCCCAGTAACGTCTCCTTCGTCCTAGTCCTGAGATTTTTTAAAAAGTGTCATATTCAAGGCTCTTTCAGGGTTAGGAGAATGAGACCCATCATTGACACAAGACATAATGTCCAAAAAAATGAATGGAGGCACTGGACCCTTGGAGCAAGAGTAATAGTACAACGGGGGAGCACTTGCCTGTGGCCTACCCGGACTTGACCCTCAGCACCCCCTATGGTCCCAGCAGGAATTACGACCAGGAGTAATTTCTTTTCTTTTTTTGGGGGGGTCACACTTGGCAATGCACAGGGGTTACTCCTGGCTCTGCACTCAGGAATTACTCCTGACAGTGCTCAGAGGACCATATGGGATGCTGGGAATCGAACCCAGGTTAGCCACGTGCAAGGCAAACGCCCTACCAGCTGTGCTATCACTCCAGCCCAAGGAGTAATTTCTGAGTCCAGAGCTAGAAGTAACCCCTGAGCATCGCTAGGTATGGCCACAAAAAAAAAAAGGCAAAGAGAAATAAATAAATCATCCTCGAGGGGATGAGTAAGAACTTAGGAAAGGGCACATAAAAAGTGTCAGCAAAGTTAGCAAAGCAGACATAAATAGTGAATGAATACAGAGAATAAACATTTGGCTTCATGAATGAATACATGGATAGATGCAAAACGGATGGAAAGTTTCTAAATGAACTTAGGACTGCCAGATGGAGGAATGAGTGAGTCCATCATAGAAGAATGAGCATATGCAAATACACTAAGGGAGCAGACAGTTCCGACGATCTAGAGGAGAAAGGGTAAACTGGGATGGTAAATAGTGCATATGCTCTAGTGTGTCTGAATGAGCAAAGGAAGCACAGACAGGTAGGAGTGACTGAGTGTGTGACCGAGTGAGAGATGAGTGAGTGAGGGAGTGAATGCAGACACAAGGATCTGAGTGAATGAGCCATCAGCACCCTCCTGCCTGGGAGCTGCCAATGCCACCCTGGCATGAATCCTCACTCACCAGATAATGATGCCAACCAGCCTCATGATGGCCTCATTGAGGCTGTCAAAGAAGTCCCGCAGGACCCGACCTTTGTGCTTCATGCCACCGATGACCAGCCCAAAGGCCACAGAAAAGACCACAAGGCCCAGGGCATTGATGCCATTGGCAGAGCCTGGCACGGGGACAGTCTCCTCAAAGCTCAGCACCTCCTGCAGGCTGCCCAAGGCACGTGTGACATTTTCCAGAAGGCTTGTTCCATTCTCCATGGAGGATGGGGAAGGCATAGAGGCCCCCAGGTCTGACCCATTATCTGTCCGCACCACAGTCCTGGTGACCAGCCTTGTGCTGTACTGTGTCTTGAACTGAAAGAGATTGAACCAGACTAGACTGACACATCTGAATCACTGGGAAAATTTGACAATGAATGTCAATTCCTGCTGAATACACCCTGCAGAGTCTCCTTTAGCATATTTAAACTCTACTGAATGTGTGACTGTGTGATTCCAGCAAAGCACTGGAGCGTCTGTGAATGAAGCATCTGTGAATGAAGCATCTGAGAGCAGCCCACACATATAATAGTGAGACAAGTCTACATTTTTCATGACTTTCAAAGGTGTTCTTGCCTAAAATATGCTGGGCCTGTCTCCCACCACTGTAGGAACCCTGGGATCCTCCCTTAGTGTCCCCAGACAGCACCTCCCAGCGGCCTTCTCTACGGCCCTCTCTTGATCAACCCACCAATGCGAAGGACATTCATTCTTGGACTCTGCCAGAAGGACCTTGCCAGGGCTGTATGGACCTCCTCAACCCTCCTCAGGCCTCCCCCCTGCCACCCGCCCGTCCCTCTTGCCTCTACCCTCCCACCCACCCCTCATGCCTCCACCATTCCAGCCTCCGACCCACCAATCTTGCTGGATGAACCCGCATACTTCCCCCCTGACCTGTTTGAAGCAGGCCTCCACAAGATTGGGCGGAAACATATTTCTGCAGAAAATGACCAGAGGAAAGAAAGGAGTTAGAACTCAGAAAGGGGTCTACAGTGCCAGTAGTAATAAGGGGCCTGACACTGTAGTCATGATGAGACTAGCGAATGAAGTACATGCACTCCCCTGCTGAACCAACAGGGATCCCAAAGAGACGAGCCTACGGTATGAGCCCCAACTCACGGTTGGGTCATCCAGGAACCTGGATATTGATATGTGTGCACAAAAACCCACTCAATAACATCCTGCCAAGCATCCTCCACTTCTCTTACACCCCACATGTGCCACTGATCCATCAAAAATACACGGACACCACCTCAAATCCTCCAACCCCAGGACTGGGTGTCATCATTTCCAAGCAGGTGTCCTTGTCCCCTTATCTCTCCTGGAATGTGAGTGGTCGTGTGTGAAGCATTAACCAACATCACCTGGGGGCAGCAAGATAGGTGAGTGGGTAAGGCACATGCCTCACAGACAGCTGACTGGTCCCCTGGTCCCTGCCTGCACAGAGCCAGGAGGAAGTCCTGAGCACCACTGGGTGTGACCAAGAAGAAAATGAAAGAGAAAAGGTAAGAAAAGGAAAGACGTCACCTCACAAGGTCCATGAAGGCGTCAGCTGTGGGGATGGTCTCAATACGGCCCTCGCGGTGCAGCCCCTCCTTGGAGCCCTTCCCGGGATGGATGATGGTGACCATAAGGATGCCAATGAAGACCGCGATGACTGTAGTCACCATGTAGTAGACCGCTGCCCGCATACCCATCCTCCCTGTCGCCTTGTTATCCAAGGACGCCATACCTGGAGAACAGTGTTGTCCCAGCACCAGCTCCAGCACCACCCCACCCCCCTCCCCACCCATCCAACAGCCACCTACCACACACCCGTACCCTATGCGCTGCCTGTCCTGCATCTCTCCATACCTAAGCCCACTGTTCTTCAGCCAGACCATGTATTTCCCACAGGTGCTGTGGAACCCATCCTTTGTCCCAACAGCCACCTTGTAGCCTTGCCTTCACCCCAAGCCACTCCCATCCTCCATTTATCCCTATTTGGCGCCATAACTTCACTCTTTCTTCCCACTCACCAGTCTGTTATCCACCCCCAGACCACACCTCCTTCTAAACATCTCTGTACGCTATACATAGTGGAGACTTTGGGTGCCTGTAAACGCCAAATGCCATTTGCCAGGTTGTGCACCTGTCTGTCCTCCTGCTGCTTATAACCCCTGCTGCCTCCTTTTCATGAAGAGTTGCCCAGGGGGGAGACCTATATCTAAGGACAGCCTAGGAAAGGGCTCAAAAAAAAAATAACTTCCCCACTCAGGTACGGCAAGGCTGGGAAATCAATTCTGTCACTCGGTACTGCGGTAGAGTACTGTCACTGTCACTGTCACTGTCCTCCCGTTGCTCATCGATTTGCTCGAGTGGGCCCAGTAACGTCTCTATTGTGACACTTGTTACTGTGTTTGGCATATCAAAAATGTCACGGTTAGCTTGCCAGGTTTTGCCGTGTGAACGAAATACTCTCGGTAGTTTGCCAGGCTCTCCAAGAGGAGCAGAGAAATCGAACCTGGGTGGGCCGGGTCGGCTGAATGCAAGGCAAACACCCAATCTGCTGTGCTATTGCTCCAGCCCACGGTAGAATGCTAGTTTTTATTTTTTTTGCAAAAAAAAAATTTTTTTTTTGCACCCTGTCATGTGCTCACGGGTTTCTCTTGAGAGCCATCTCTTCACAAACTGCTTTTGTAGTGAACCCCATCTCAGGTGCTGCTTCTAAAACGTACAAGGCCAAATGTGGACCACAGCCTGCTTCCATAAAGGAGGTTGGAGGGAAAAACACATTGGTCTGCCTACTGCAGAGTACTACAACTGCTCATGAAGTCACACTGAAAACAAGTAGCCAGAGACCACGTGACCAATACCTGAACCAAGACCTGAACCATCTCTGGAAGGTGAACTACAGCTGGACAGTGGGCTGAAGGATAGCTCTCTTCTGGCAAATATGACCAAGGTTCTCACCTGTGACCAAGCTGGACACAATCAGAGGCAGCACCAGCATCTGCAGCATCCTCATGAGAAGCTCTCCAGGGAAGGAGAAATACTTGATCTGGCGGTAAGTGAGCTGACAAGGGCGCAGCGCGAAGGCCAAGCTGACCCCTGGGACAAAAAGAGGTGTCAGCAGAGTGGCATTTGGATCAGGGTCACCCACCCCAAAAAGAGGCATGTGTGTGAGAGAGACAGACAGACAGACAGAGGCAGAGAGGACCATGCTATGACTCTGCGCTATATTGTCAAAGTAGGAGTGTGCTCCATGCTGACCTGTAAGATTCTGTACAGATACTTACACATATCTATGTACCCATAGGTAAAGCAGTCATGCACATCCCTCTGGGCACACAGACTCGTCCCTCAGCACATGGTTGCATGCACAGGAGATGCGCATGTGTGCAGGAGGCGTGACTTGCATGTGTATGTCACTATTTTCAAACAAGATGGTGTATGATTGTGAACTTCAGAGCGTGCAGATGTTGAGTGTAAGAGAGACAGACACACGTGAAGGTGCATTCCAGAGTACAAATGAGAGCAGGTCCGTGAGTCTCCATGAACACTATGAGTTTAATGTGTACATTAAAGGTGTGTTCCGAGGCAGAAACTGCAAAGCAGATAAGCAGGTGTGGTCTATACGTGCAGACACGTGTGCAGGCAAAAAAGTTTGCAGGAGTATGCAACCACTGCGTCCATACGTGGGGAGGGGAATGGGGGGGGGGGGGTAAGCCCTGTCTCCACAAGCTGGATGCTGGCAGTTCGGTGGCTTAGGCGCCCCCACCACTCACCAATGACCACAGCGCTGACGGTCAGCAGGATGAAGGCGTTCCGGCGCAGGAAGCGCTGCACGTGCTGCCGCGTCATGGTCTGCAGGCGCAGGCGCGTGCGCAGCGCCCTCTGCTGGAGCCGGTCCTGCAGCCCTGGTAGGCAGCCCGCCGTGCCCAGCCGCTGGCCGCTTTCCCGCAGGAACAGGCTGTTGCCGTGGCTGCTCATGGTCTATCTGCAGGGCTGTGAGGGGCAGGACAGGGTGCAGATGTGGGTGGGGAGATGGGGTAAGGAAGGTATTGGACACACAGAACCCCAACTGTCTCCAGCCAATCAGATTGGCGCCTCACACCTCCTTCAAGTTGGAAGTCCCAAACACATAAAGAGACACACACATGGATTTGTCCAAGCTTTAGCGTGGCGGGGGTGACATGAGTGAGGGTACCCCTGGCCATTCAGTCAACAGGAGACCACTCCCCACCCTGGTTCCCAAAGTGTGAGTTTTTGCTGATGCTGACAAAGTTATTAAGAGGTAACTAATGTTAATTAATTAAATTAGTGTGCATTAAGTTCCTAACCACATCAAAATTCAATGGGAACATGAAGAACATGGGATCTTTTTCATAGCTGATAAGGAAGCACCCTTAAAATATAAAGTCGTGGCAGTGACTGGAGCAAAAGCACAGCAGGGAGGGTGTTTGCCTTGCATGCAGCTGACCCAGGTTTGATCCCCGGCATCCTATACGGTCTCCCAAACACCATCACGAGTGAGCCCTGAGTGCAGAGCCAGGAGTAACCCCTGAGCATCATTAGCCATGACCCAAATACAAAACGAAAACAAAATAAAATAAAGTCAGGATAGTTTTCTACTCTATTCTTGCCTAAGTTGCCCTCTACATCTAGAAGCTATTGTATTCTACTCCTTCCTAGGTGCATCTTACTCACTTTTTTTTTTGCTTTTTGGGTCACACCCAGCATTGCACAGGGGTTATTCCTGGCTCATGTACTCAGGAAACACTCCTGGCGGTGCTCGGGGGGACTATATGGGATGCTGGGAATCGAACCGGGGTTGGCCGCATGCAAGGCAAACGCCAAACGTGCTATTGCTCCAGCCCCTCTAAGTGCATTTTTGCTTCCCGTTAATATTCCAAAACCTTTGTTGTTTGTCCCAGGGGACTGATGACACTGGAGATTTTTTTTTTTTAGGGGACAATCTCCCACACTCAACAGCCAACAGCTGACGAGGGCGAGAAGGATCTACGGGAAATACTCAGGTCATCCAAGGACATTGTGGCGGTTCCAGGGTCACTAAGGCAGAAAAGGGTCAGGATTGCCTGAGCTGCTGCATGGCCTCTGGGAAGTGACAGGCCTGAGACGTGCTGTCGACCTGCGTGGAGCAGCCCAGCTGACAGAATGACACCAACACCAGCAAAGGGTTCCCATGCGGGTGCCAGCCACGTGCACCGCGGCCCTCTGGAGAAGACACTTGGCAGTCTGGCTCCCAGGGCAGCTTACACAGGTGCCGCCCTGGGCTGATGCCACCTGGGGCTCGAAGACAAAAGCAGCAGCGACCCAGAAAATCAGTGCCAGCAAGTACAGCTGCACTACCTGGGTGAGCAAGGCAGGGAGGTCCTGAGTGAGCCCATCAGGGGTCCCCAGGAAAGAACTGAGACATCTGTCCAGGGAGCTCCTTAAGGGAAACATGTCAAAATCAAACTGAGTCCAAACATCTGCCTGCCGTGTGCTTCCCACACTGCACTGTCGCCCCAGAACACACCCCAGAATTTTCTAATCGATATGTCTGAGATGGAAGGCGAAGACACCTGATGTCTTGGAATGCTGATGATAGTTTCATCCACATTAAATAAAGTGCATCTTACTCTAAGAACCCAGGCTGGGGAGGTTGCTCAACGCGCTGCGTGCAAGCTCTGCATGCAAGACCCGATTCGATCTCCTGCATCGCATGCTCCCCTGAGCACTGCCAGGAGTGACTAAAAGTGGCCAGAGAGATTTTTTTAAATAAATTTTTCAATGTGAATGTGGCTGTCCTCCCAGCTAAAGCCTTCCCCTGTTGGGGCAGAAGCTGATGGCCTATTCAGGGGCCTGGCCTCGCTAAATGACCCTCTCTGGTCTTCCTTGCAGGGGATTCACCCACCAACCTCCAGAATCAGTTGAGATTGGCAAGAGGAGGACAGGAAGGGCCACCCTATCTGGCTGCACAATGACCCCCACGTGGCCAGCCTGAGGAGGGAGTGGGGAGGGAGCTGCACCGTTGAATGGGCAGTCTCTTGATGTCGTGTGCAACAGGCACCTACACACAGCACAACCACGACCACACCAAACACACCACATACACACAACCCTGCACATGCCCCAGCCAGGCTGCACCGGTCACACCATCCTTAGACTGTGTATGCACACCGCAGACATGCGTGGATACGTCCCAGTGCCAGAGTACACAGGCACTCACAAGGACACACTGGCACTCACCCACATAAAACACGAGCATACATATCCAGGTGTGCATAGGTGTATGCGGACAGAAACGCGAGGACCTGCACAGACATGCGGACCTGCACAGCCACGCATGCATGCGTGTGCAGTCAAACATCCACACATATCCAGGTGCATACATCAACACACACGGATGCAGTCACACAACACAAGCATTTGCCACTCATGGGCACCGCAGACACAGAACGCCACACAGCAGGAAGGCACACAGACACACCTGGGAAGGAAGGCACCAAGCTACCTGCGGACTCAGTTCCCAGCGACACCGCCCCCCACCCCCAACGCACCGTGGCTGGTTCTGGGGGTCTGTCGTCTCCGCTCTCGGCTGGCTGATCAAGCCTGCCTGCCGTATTCGGAGGAAAGAGAGCCAGGAAAGGGGAGGGAAGGAGCCCAGGAAAGGGGGCGACGCCGGGAAGAGCCGAGCGGGGAGGGCAGGGCGAGCGGGACGGGTGCGGAGAGGAGAGGACCGGCGGAGGAGCGGGTAGGCTGCGCGCCCCCACCCCGGGGCCCCACTCACCGCGCGCTGCGGAGGCCGAGCCGCCGCCGCCGCCGAGCGCTGGGGTGTCCGCGCGCTCACGTGGGCGCGGGGCGCGGGGCGGCGCCGGGAGCCCTGGGGCCGGGGGCCCGCGGGACCCGCCCCTCCCGCACGCCGGCGACGCTGACCCCCCACTGGAGGGTTGGAGCGCGCACGTTGGGCTCCGGAGGAAGGCAGGTGAGGGGTGGCCTCGCTGGGAATTAACGTCGCCGCCGTCTGGGGGCGCGGCGGGCGGGGCCGCCCCCGCTGGCCGGCGCCCACTTGCTTGCTTGCTTGCCAGCGACATCTGTGGCCTCTGCTGAGCTCAGGGAGCTTCAGTGACTTCCAGCGCCACGCCGCCAGGAGCAGCCTCCAGGACAGAGGAGAAAGCGGTTCCTAAGAGTCCTTGATGGAAATGAGGATGTGTGGGCCAGGCCCAGTGGTGACGCGAAGGGGCCTGGGCTGCTAAATAGAAAACAGCCTCGGGAGAACTGCTCGCTCAGCAGACCTGGAGCTTGCCTCTCTCGCTGCGGACCCGACAGCGGTGACGAATGTCAGAGGCTGCAGGGAGCAGGCGGGACCACAGGGCTGGCGGGTGGCTCTGGAGAGAGATGCATGCCCAGCAAGGGCAAGACCCTAAGCCTGACCCTGGCCTCATGCCCCCTGAGCACCGGTGAATGTTATAAGCCTTAGGGTGTATTGTTGGGACTAGGAGACCCGGATCTGTGGAAATCCATGAGCGTTCCCATTTCCCTGGAGACCACAGTCCTACACTAAGAACCTGTTTCAGTATTGGGGCTGGAGCACTAGCCCAGCTGGTAGGGCGTTTGCCTTGCACGCGATGGACCTGGGTTCGATTCCCAGCATCCCATATGGTCCCCTGAGCACCGCCAGGGGTAATTCCTGAGTGCAGAGCCAGAAGCAACCCCTGTGCATTGCCGGGTGTTACCCAAAAAGAAAAAAAAAAAGAACCTGTGTCATCGGCTATGAACAGCAGGGAGGGCCCCACAGAGCTTTGCTGTAGATAGGTGACTGATCCTTCTGGTGTGAGCGATCAAAACCGAGATCACATTCTCTCTCACGAGACACTGACATACACTCTGTCTTCCCCACGGTTACGTTTGTGGATGATGATTATTCTATTTCTGTGCCAGATTTTGTTTTGTTTGGGGGAGTCACACCCGGAAGTGGTCAGGGCTTACTCCTAGCTCTTTGCTCAGAAATCACTTTCTGGGGCTCAAGGGACCCTGCAGGATGCCAGGGCTCCAACTAGGGTCGGCCACAAGCAAGGCAAGCGCCCTGTCCACTGTACTATTGCTTTTCCCACCCTCTTTTTTTCTCTTTTTGCCCCCCTATTTTTCTTTTTGATTCAGTCCCTCTTGCACCAGATTTACAAATTAAACTTTCAGGGATCCTGGGAATCTTGGAACATATCCTGACTGGGAATTTATCTGGGAGTGAGGGGCACACCTGGTGATACTCAGGGCTTACTCCTGGCTCTGCACTAAGAAATCACTTCTGGATATGCTTGGGATGCCGGGAATCAAACCCAGGTTAGTCCCACATGACGGCAAGTGCCCTAGCCACTGTACTACTGCTCCAGCTCCCCAACTAAGTCACACTGTAGCACTGTCCTCCCGTTGTTCATCGATTTGCTCGAGTGGGCACCAGTAATGTCTTCATTGTGAGACTTGTTACTGTTTTTTGGCGTATCGAATATGCCGCGGGGAGCTTGTCAGGCTCTGCCTGGCGGAAGGGATACTCTCAGTAGCTTGCCAGGCTCTGAGAGTAGTCGGCCGCATGCAAGGCAAACGCCCTACCCGCTATGGTATGGCTCCGGCCCAACTAAGTATTAGTTTTAAATGTTGGTTTGTTCATTTAGCATGTAAACGATAACCTTGTTGCATATTGACACAAATAGCTTACTTTAAAAAAAAATTTCCAAATAATTTCCCAAAACCAAACCTTTTGAGGAGAGAGTGTTTTACACTTTTGAGAATCATCTTGGTATTTGGTTTCAGGAAGAGCACATGGGATTTTCACACAGACATTCCTTTGAATGTGTGGATTCCACACTTTTTTATTTTGTTTATTTATTTATTTTGCTTTTTGGGTCACACCTGGCGATGCTCAGGGGTTACTCCTGGCTTTGCACTCGGGAATCACTCCTGGCAGTGCTCAGGGGACCATATGGATGCTGGGAATCTAACCTGGGTTGGCCACATGCAAGGCAAATGCCCTACTCACTGTGCTATCACTCCAGCCCCTGATTCCACATATTTATTTCTCCACATACTCTGCAATTTTGCAGAGCAGAGTGCTGAAAATTTGAACTGCAGGCCTGAGTTCCTAGCTCAGGTGAAAGTAGGCAGGACTGGCTCAGCTTTCTACATCAGACTGCAGACGAGCACGCTTCCTCACCCCTACGGTGTGGAGACGCTCTGCTGTATCTGTAATGTTTCATCCAGAGGAAGCAGGCAGAAGATGCGCTGCCCTCAGAGTAATCAAATCAACGACGTCAGAAATATGGTGCTTGTGATGAGAAATACACGTGAAAGGGGCTACGGACTGGTTTGTGCTATGAGGTCATTCTGCTAAAGCAGCTGAAGAAAATGGAAGCTCACACAGATGGGTCTTTGGGAGAAGAAGGGGCCTTTCTGGTAATGACAGCAGTTCTTTGAAGAAGAAATCACTCCAGCGCAGTTCCTCATGGCATCTGTGTGGCCAGAAGCTCTGGCCTGGGCTGGCACTAAATCCCACAGAATGCCCCCTCCTCATGTGTGGCTTTGGACTCTAAGCACCAGCTCTCCACATCCACACACAGCCAAACCAACACTCCACTCTTCGTTCTTCAGTAAGAAGACTCCCCCAAGTACCCTTCATTCTTAGAAAATATCAAAAAACGAAGGAATCCATGGGCAAGTGGCCATTCAGTTTGCAATCCTGACACTCACACAGGGTTCTCCCTGGAGACCAAGGCTGTTCCCTCAGGATAATACCTCTTATGGCCTTGCCATCTCATCGTGAGAATGTGCTGTGACAGGCAGACAGTGGACACAGGTAACACTGGACTTTGCAAGCGACAGGGACCAAGGCTGATGGGAGTAGAGAACTGCTCCAGCCGTTTCTGGTCATTCTCAGTAGATGGTGATAGGTGGGTTTGGATTTGCATCTCCCTGTTAAGAAAATCACGATGAACACTTGCTTATGCTCCTTGTAGCCAACTGTGTGCTTCCTTCCAAGCGTCTGTTCAGTTCTTCTTCCCTTTTTTGATGGAATTCTCAGATTTTCTTTATGTGTCCTCAATTTCTTTAACAAAGCATACATAGAGGGCTACTACAATACAGAGTTAGCTGCTAGAATTCCTTAGGGCTTGGAGGGGCTTGAAACAAATGAAGCTGTAAGCAGGGATGGGAATGTTCGGGGGCAGCACTGACATCTAGAGGGATGTCAGTCAAACCTCTTCCCTGAGGAAAGAACCAGACACGCAGGCTACTCAGGCATGGGACCCATGAACACAAACTGTCCAAAATAGGAAACACACACAGCAAGCAGAGGGGATTCCGGAACTAGGGAATATCTGTATGATCATGGAGAAGGGGCTTCTTTGGGGAGGGGGGTAGAATATTCTGGAACCAGAGGTGGAGTTTGTTCATGACATGGTAAGTGTTCTCTGTGCCCCAACTGGTTGACTTTGAATAGTTAACTTTGTATACAGTTTGGGGCTTTTTTTTTAAGTGCCAAATGGGTCTGGAGAGATAGTACTGTGGGTCGGGTTGCCATCAGGAGTGATTCCTGAGTGCAGAGCCAAGAGTAACCCCTGAGAAACACCAGGTACGGCACAAGAACAAACAAAAATGAAGAAGAAAAAAATAGAAAAAGTGTCTCCCTGCCAAAAAAAAAATCAACATTTAAGGTTGTTGTTTAATCGATATTTCAGTGCAACATTCAGAACTTCAGGGCAATGTTTTAAAAACCAAAATGAATGCAAAAAAAAACCAACATACACAACATTTAAAATAAGGACAACAAGTTGAGAATTCTCATTCTCCTTTTGCTTCATCTTTCAAAATGACTCAATTCCACATTCTTAAGGACTCTCTCTTAATTCTGCTCCTTTCTCTTTTGGCATTAATTGGTGGTTTTATATAGTTCACATCAAAATGTTATGTTTGCAGGAGAAAATTCTCCCATATCTGCATAGGGAAAAAGCAACATATTTACTCAAAGAAGAACCCTCAGGAGGCCAGGAGCTGGCCAGTTACGGAAACACTCTTCACAGTGACAGGCCTGGGGTTCCATACCCACACACACACCCTGTAGCACCGTAGCACTGTCCTCCCATTGTTCATAGATTTGCTTGAGCAGGCCCAGTAATGTCTCCATAGAGAGGCTTCTGTTACTGTGTTTGGCATATAGAATACATCACGGGTAGCTTGCCAGGCTTTGCTGTGAGGGCAAGATACTCTCGGTAGCTTGCCAGGCTCTCCGAGAGGTGCGGAGGAATCCAACCCGGCTCGGCCGGGCTGGCTGCATGCAAGGCAAACGCCCTACTGCTGTGCTACCGCTCCAGCCCACACACACACCCCAAAAACAGAAATAAGAAAAACTCCAGGGGTGCTGAGAGATACACTAGCAGGGAGACAGCTAAGTTGGAAACCTGGCAAACCGTACGGTGCCAAGACCTGCCAGAAGTGACCCTTGAGGGCAGCACCAGGAATGAGCCTTGAGCATTGTGGCAATGGCGAAAAGAAAACAAAAAGGATAAGAAATCAAAAAGAAACGGCTCCTTCGCCTTTTCAAAATCACAGCCACAATAGGGGGTTGTCCACTTGCTCCTTTTCTTCTACTGACCACCCTGCCAAGCTTTGCCCATGGCCAACATGCCAACAGCTGAGTGCCCAGTGTCTGACCCCCTGGGCTGAAAAGTACACTTAGGGGACCCTGCTCAGGGTCCCACTCCCACCTGCAGCCTGGGCTCTTTCCCGGCCTCCCCATCAGAGTAGGGCAGGACTTGGCACACAGCAGGGGGACAGGGAGCCCACCACAGCCCATCAGGGCAGCCCTCAGCAGAGCGCCTCAACTGTCCCAAATGACTGTCCTGGTTGTGGGGTGTGGGCTGAGCCAGAAGAGCCTGAGTGGGAAGAATCAGGCTAATTCCTCGGTGGGACAAGTTCCCTATTAATTAATTAGGGCAGAGCTGGCCTGCGGCACCCACACCATCCCCAGAGTCATTAAGGCAGAGGGGTGTCTCATTACGAACAGGCAGCTTCCCCGTCATCCCCAGGCCCCGAAGGATGGGGACAGGCGGAAGGAAGGAAAGCAAGTCCCCTCCTGTAACCTGTGCTAAGTGGCCTGACCGACCAGCTGTGAATTTTAGGGAAGAAAAGAGGCCTGAGGAGGGGTGGGGTGACTCCCTGCTCCCCATCTTGTCCTTGTCTGCAGTCGCAAGTGGTGGAGAGGCCAGAGGCAGACTCCAACCAGGATGGAGGGAGGAGGTCAGCTTCTCCTGGGGGAGGGAGTAGCCAGTGGTCAGTGCTGCTGCATGTTCCAGGAGAGGACACAGCACCATGAGTGAGCACATCTGTCAGGGTCGTGGGGCTTTTCCGGCCTTGCATAGTAAACTGTATCACTGGGTACCTTAGCACACCATGTCCTCTCCATGAAAGGGGGCATTTAAATGAATGAGAACATCTCCCAAGATGGTGGCTGCTAGACATTTGTGAATGTGCTGAAGTGTGGGACAGCCCAGTCTCAGGACAACATACCTTGTCCCTGACCCTCTGACAAAAGTGCAGCCCCAGAGCATGGGACAGACTACAGTGAGAAGGATGCCCGAGCCCCTTAGGGCCCCCTGAGCACAGAGCCAGGAGTCAGCCCTGAGCCCTGCTGGGTGTGGACTCAAGACAAAATGAAAAAACACACACAATCGCTCCATGCTGAGGCCATGTCAAAGGTTTCTGCACTCTGGGCAAGGAGAAAACCTAAATGCATCAAAACAAGACTTTAAACACACACAATGTTATTCTCTGATCACATTACACAGAAAATGAATTTGAAAATTATGGCCTGGGCTTCAGGTGTTGCAGTTCATGCCCACCGCACGTGAGGAATTGAGTCTGAAGTTGATGCTGCCTGCTGGCCCACAGCACACTGGGCCCGAGCACACAAGCGTCAGGTGTGCACTGTGGTGCTGAGTAAAAATCGCTGGGAACAGTATTTGAAGGGTAAGAAAGAATGCAAAAGCAAGGCACGACACTTGAGCACCACCAGGTGTACTCCCCAAATCAAATCTGGAGAGGACGTATATAAAATTAATCATTACAACATTGAAAATAAGGGGCTGGAACAATAGCCCAGCGGGTAGGGCGTTTGCCTTGCACACGGCCGACCCGGGTTCAATTCCCAGCATCCCATGTGGTCCCCTGAGCACTGCCAGGAGTAGTTCCTGAGTGCAAAGCCAGGAGTAATCCCTGTGTATCGCCGGGTGTGACCCAAAAAAGCAAAAAAAAAAAAAAAAAAAAAAAAAAAAAAAACTTTGAAAATAAAAACAAGAAATGAAAAGTCATGGGTTATCCAGACGCAAAAGCTGGGGGTGAGGCCTCCCAGGACTGGACAGGACAAGCATAGCAGGGGTCGGGGCAGGTCACAATGGGATGGACAATGAAGTTCAGGATGAAGCCGGATGCGGGCAGCCCTCATGCCTCCCTGGGAACAGAAAGGAGGTGGGGGCCGGGACGGAGGGAGGAAGGAAGGAGTTTGAGTGAGGAGACAGCGCTAGAGGTGTTCAACCAGCTGGGCTAGGTGATCTGAATTGGTGACACAGTCCCTGACACTGGGTACCACCAGTGCCGTGTGTGCCTGCGTCCTGCTCACTGTGGGCCACCAGGGTCACTCCTGACTGTCATCAGGGCTCAGGGAATGGTAAGGCTAGAAACCCTGCCATGTTCTGATCCCTGTCCACAAACTCTCGTCCACACAGCCCTGGGTTGGGCTCTCTCCCTGCCTCCCCAGCCAATGGGAGAGGCTGTCCCCAGAGTGGCAGGGTCACCCGACAGCAGCCAACAGTGTGAGGACGAGCCAGACTCGGGGCTCCACAGCCGAGCCCCCGGAGAGGAGAGGAATGAACCATGGACTGAGCATGGCCCCAGCTGCAACAAAGCCCTGAGTTCCCTCGCCACCTCCTCCTCCGCTCCAGGGGCCACAACCACGGGTCCTTGACGACTGTCACCGCCTAGGCAGGGGCCAGGAAGAATCTCCCTGCTGCCACCGCTGGGGGCTTCCCAGGCCTCCCGACACCTCCCCAGCAAGGCGACCTCATTCTCAAAGACAAAACTGATTCTGGGTCACATCCCCCTGGAACAAGAGACAAACGGGTGTGCTTATCTCCAGGAGAAAGGGGGGCACCCAGCTAAAAGTAGAACTTGATGCCCCAGAAGGGGAGGCACGGGGGACCCTGAAAAGGGGTCTCTAGTAATGATCTCCAGATCTCAGTGTGAAGGGCATCTCCACAGGCACAGCAGAAATAAGGAGGGAGAGGGTTTGGGTGCCGGGAACCGCCTCCCAGCCCCGCAAGCAGCCTGTCCCCACACACCAGCCCGAAAGAATGTCAGTGACACTCAGAGCTGAGGTCACTCTACTTCCCCGTGGCCAGGGTCACCTACAGTGGGACGCTAGTCCTCTGGCAAGAGTGAGCCACCCCCCAGACTCGCCAGGGCAGGTGCTTCTCGGTCCCTCTTCCTCCTTGTCTGTAGCAGCCAAGTATGCGCGTGCACATGAAGTCACTCAGCTTCAGAGCGTGCCTTGTTGAGAGTTCCCCAGCCTCCACATAGTGTGTATATGAGACTGTCACCACAGGACAGTTTCTGTCCCAGCATATACAACAAATCTCTGGGAGACTGAGACTGGCCCCTGGCCATGCGGGCTGTCCAGACTCAGGTAGGGCCCCGCTTCTAAGAAAGCCCCCTCTGTCGGTCTTGACTGGCAGGGAAACCCTCTCCCTCAAGGGCCATTTGGGTAGGTACAGTGTCACTCACGCAACACACACAGACTTGCAGATGAGCAATGGAGACCAGGGCCAGACCACATGAACTCTCAATGGGCCAGAGATTCCTCACCTCTGTCTAGACTCTTGCCCAAAACATACCAGCAAAGCCAGAAACTGGATCTGAGTTTTGGAAGTCGATCTATGGGTCCAAGGAGGCTCGGAAGACTAAAAGGAAGAGAAGCGAGTAGAGCGAGCACAGGCAGTGGTGCAGGCGAATGTCAGTGCCCAGACAAAGGCGCACAGCAAGTGTGGGATGGTAGGTGTGACTATGACAAGGTAGGTGTGTTTGACAGTGTGGCTCTGCAGGAAAGAGTGGGTGTGTGGGAAAATGAATATGAATATGTAGGAAGGTGTGAGTGTGTGGGAAGGTTGTTGTGTGGGAAGGTGTGTTGTTTGGGTAGGTGTGGGTGTGTAAGGTGTGGGTGTGTGGGGCGGTGTGGTGTGCAGATAGTGTGGTGTGTGGGGAAGGTGTTGGTGTGCGGGGAAGGTGTGGTTGCGGGAAGGTGTGGTGTGCAGGGAAGGTGTGGGTGTGCGGGAAGCTGTGGTGAGCAGGAAAGCTGTGGTGTGCGGGAAGGTGTGGGTGTGTGGGAAGGTGTAGCGTGAGGGACGTTGTGGCGTCCAGGAAGGTGTAGCAAGCGGAAAGGTGTGGGCATGTGGGAAGGTGTGTTGTGTGGGAAGTTCTGGTGTGTGGGTAGGTGTGGGTGTGTAAGGTGTGGGTGTGTGGGAAGGCATGGTGTGTAGATAGGTGTGGTGTGTGGCGAAGATGTGGTGTGCAGGGAAGGTGTGGGTGTGTGGGAAGGTGTGGGTGTGCGGGAAGGTGTGGGTGTGTGGAAAGGCGTGGTGTGTAGATAGGTGTGGTATGTGGGGAAGGTGTCCGTGTGCGGGAAGGGGTGGTGTGCGGGAGGGTGTGGGTGTGCTGCGAAGATGTGGTGTGCGGGGTAGGTGTGGGTGTGCGGGAAGGTGTGGGTTGTGGGAGGTTGGGCGTGCGGGACGGTGTGGGTGTGTGGGAAGGTGTGGGTGTGTGGTACAACACTGGTCTGTGGTATGACACAGGCGTTGTGTCAGGGTGGGCGCCTGGACGCAGGCCCCGCCGGTGCTGGAGCGAGTCTCCTCCCCAGTCAGGCCTGCACCCCGGCAAAGCCCCGGCCTGGGCGCTGGGGCCGCCAGGGCTGCAGCGGGAGGGCGGCGGGAGAGCCGCGCCTGAGGAGCAGCCCGGCCCCTCCGAGGGGAGCGCGGGCGGAAGCAGCGCGCCGCGCCGGGGTTCGAGGAGCGCCCGGCCCGCCCCTCCCCGGAACCCCGCGGCGGCCTCGTTCTGTCGCCGTGGGAACGAAGCCGGCGCACTCGGTGGCGGCGTCGGAGGTGCCCTACGGGGGCGAGCATGCCCGAGCCGCCGGCCGCGCGCGACCAGGACATGTCCGTGGGGGCCCGCGAGTGGCGCGCGGCGGCGCAGGCCGCGGTGAGGAAGGCGGAGCAGCTGACGGAGCGCTGCGGGCAGGAGGCGGTGACCATGTGGCAGCCCGCGGACGGCGGTGGCGGCGCGCGGGACGCCGACGTGGCCCCCCACCTGTGGCGCGCCGCCTACATGCAGCCCTGGCGCTTCCGCGTGGAGCGGGCGCCGGGCGGCGCGCCCGTGGAGAGGCCGCCGCCGGGCGAGGGCGTGACGCTGTGGCGCAGCCGGATGAAGCCGCCCATGTGGCACGCGCGCCTGCCGCTGCCCCTGCACCGCGACGCGCGGGCGCTGCAGACGGCGCAGCTGGTGCACGCGCACGCGCGGGGGACGCGCCTCGTGGTGGCGCGCCTGGGCCGTGCCCTGCAGCAGGTGAACCGGCAGCTGCAGCGGCTGCTGCGCCAGCGCGAGGCCACCGGCCGCAGGCTCCGTGAGGTGCGCCAGGGCCTGCTGGTGAACCAGCAGAGCAGCAAGCTGCGGAGCCACCGGCCTGAGTCGGAGAAGGTGGGAGATGCTTCCTGCACAACCCCCCCCCACACGCACGCATACACATGCACACAAGCACACATGCACACACACGCATGCACACATGGACCCATACACATGCACACATGCACACACACGCATGCACACATGGACCCATATGCACACACGCACACACGCGTACATACACGTACATACACACGTGCACACATGCTCACGTGCACACATACACACAGGACACACATACTTACATGCACATATGCGCACACACATGCATACAAACATGCACACATGTATGCACACACACACACACACACAGACACACACAAAGAAACCAGGGACAGAGGAAGAGACTTAGCTTCTCGGTACTCATCCTGGAGAAAACCCTCCCCTCAGAGAGAACACACAGCCGAGCACACAGAAGCACGCCACCAGGACACACAGTGACCAAGGGCACTCCCAGCCCCAGGGAGACCACCCTCGGCTGTCTGATCCCATTCCCCGGGGAGATTTCTCCCAGTCCCCCAGCAAGTGAGAGGCAGACCAGTGAAAGTTTTCTGAAGGGGAAATGCCCACCACTTCCAATCTAGGCATGAGCTCATCCTCCCGGCCCCCTGCCAGGAGACCCCACTCTACTTGATTCCCAACTGAAGCCCTCCATCTCACACCGTCCCCCCACCCCAGGAAAGGAGGCAATGCCCTTGGGGTTCTCAACTCAGTGGAAACTCCACAAAATGTGTATTTAAAGAACCGAAGCCCAGCCTCAGCCTTGGCAAAAGCCAGGATTCATGGGGAGCGGGGACACCATTGGGGTCCTCTGGTTCACAGGCCCCCGCCCAGAGAAGGCCCAGCAGAAGACTCTCACCCTCCCCCAGCCCAGCAGGGGTGGTCTTGCAACTCCCTGGGAAGGGGAGAACCAGACAGCTCAGCTTCCGATAGCTGACCTCACAGTTCCCAGGACAAGAGCCCTCCAATTCTGACCAGAGGGGAAACATTACTAAGCACAGGGGACCCCAGCCCCAGAGAGTAAAACCGGCTTCCCCAAACAGCCCCTGCATGCAAACTAGCTACTGAACCCCCAACAGGAAAAGGGACAAAGAGCCCCCACTCTCCTCCCTGGAGATGAGAACCCCAGCTGAAGGCCACCCAGAGTACTAGCTCTCTCACAGTGAGATCCCAAAGGGAAAAACACCCCCAACTCTGACCTCCACGCCAGAATGCATGAGGTGGCACCCCCACAGTGAGGACGCCCCTTCCTCAGGCAGTGAGAGCCTCCTCCCAGGCCCTGCCAGGAGACCCCACTCTACTTGATTCCCAACTGAAAGGGAAACGCCTGCAAAGGTGACAGTCTCCTTGCTCCCAGATTCCTGACAAGGCAGACAGTGCCCTCACCTGGGAGAGGCAAGAGCTTCGGATCCTGAAGAGCAAGATGGAGAAAGACATGGACAAGTCTGAGACTCTGCTCAAGGTGGGTGCCAGAGCAACTAAAGGGCGGGGAAGGGCATCCCACTGTGGCAGCCCAGCCGCTCACACATGGCCTAACCTCAGTGCACTGGTCCCTCCCCCCTGCAAAATGCAAATGCCAGACTCTGAGCCAAGAATGGGGCCTCTTGTGTGAACCAGACCCTCTGGGGCTGAAGAACAGCATTGGTGGAAGGAAGTGGACTCTGGTGAAGGGTGTTGAAACAGCCTGAAACCCAATCGTGAACAACTTTGTGATTTTATTATGGAAGGAAGAAAGGGAGGGAGGGAGGGAGGGAGGGAGGGAGGGAGGGAGGGAGGGAAAAGGAGGAAGGAAGGAGGAAAAAAGGAAGGAAGGGAGGAAGGAAGGAAGAAAGGAAGGAAGGAAGGAAGGAAGGAAGGGGAAGGAAGGAAGGAAGGAAGGAAGGAAGGAAGGAAGGAAGGAAGGAAGGAAGGGGAAGAAGGAAGGAAGGAAGGAAGGAAGGAAGGAAGGAAAAGGAAGGAAGGAAGGAAGGAAAAGGAAGGAAGGAAGGAAGGAAGGAAGGAAGGAAGGAAAAGGAAGGAAGGAAGGAAGGAAGGAAGGAAGGAAGGAAAAGGAAGGAAGGAAGGAAGGAAGGAAGGAAAAGGAAGGAAGGAAAGAAGGAAGGAAGGAAGGAAGGAAAAGGAAGGAAGGAAGGAAGGAAGGAAGGAAGGAAAAGGAAGGAAGGAAGGAAGGAAGGAAGGAAAAGGAAGGAAAAGGAAGGAAGGAAGGAAGGAAGGAAGGAAGGAAGGAAGGAAGGAAAAGGAAGGAAGGAAGGAAGGAAGGAAGGAAGGAAGGAAGGAAAAGGAAGGAAGGAAGGAAGGAAGGAAGGAAGGAAGGAAGGAAGGAAGGAAGGAAGGAAGGAAGGTAGGTCCACTGGAAGGGGCCAGCAAGTAAGGCACTGAGCTCCCCTACTCAGAAGGGACTCCCCTACCAGCCAGGATGGACCCCTGAGCTCAGAATCAGGAGTAAGCCCTGAGTATCACAGGGTGGGCCCCAATATGACAAATGAAAGACAGTTCCCTGGAGGTCTCAGAACCTCCTTTCCTGGACCTGACCTCACAGTGTTGGATGGGCTCGGGTGAGAATGAGGGTCCAAGATCCCCACTCCCTGGGCAGGGGTCTCCGAGGTTGCCTGAGGGCTGCCCATAGCCACTAGAGCTATTGGGACCCCAAGGCAGATGTGGGGGCCTGAACCCTCAGGGCAGCAGAGGGTGGGGGGTAGCTACACCGGCCTGCACTTCAGATGGACAGCTGGACAGGAGCCAGCACCATGTGACTGAGCCATCAGACAGAGGCCCTGACCTCCCTGCTGCTCAGCCCAGACAGCAGCTGCGGATGGAGCGGGACGGGGTCCGGGTGTCCGTATGGCTGCAGCCAGCTGGGCAGGAGAGCCTCTGCTGCCCTAGGGAGCCTCTGGCCTGGCACAGGAAGCACTTCCTGCCCTACCCAGAGCTCCCCTCTCTGCTCCACCTGAGCCTGCCTCTATCCCAACTGCTCCCCTCTCCCCTCCTCTGCTCCCCTCTCTCCTCTCCCTCTCTCCTTTCCTCTCCCCTGCTCCCCTCTCTCCTCTCCTCCTCCCCTCCTCTGCTCCCCTCTCCCCTGCTCCCCTCTCTCCTCTCCCCTGTTCCCCTCTCTCCTTTGCCCTCTCCTCTCCCCTCCCCTGTTCCCCTCTCCCTTCTTCCCTCTCTCCATTCCCCTCTCCTCTCCCCTTCCCTCTCCCCTCTTCTCTCTCTCCTTTCCCCTCTCCTCTCCTCTCCCCTCTCCTGCTCCCCTCTCCCCTCTTCCCTCTCTCCTTTCCCCTCCCCTGCTCCCCTGTCTCTTCTCCCCTCCCCCTGCTCCCCTCTCTCCTCTGCTCCTTCCTCACAGGCCCTGGCCTCCTGCCGGGATGCCCTGATGTTCAACTATAAGGAGAGGCTCCAAGTGTTGGACCTCATAAACCAGCCCCTGGACAAGGCTCTGGAGCAGGCTTGCCGCCATTCCTGGCTGGACCTGACCCGCAACCCGACTCCAGACACCAAGGGCACGAGGACCCCACCTCCGGACCCCCTGGCTGCTTATACCCCAGGTAGGTCTTGCAGGAAGGAGCCCGTTGAGGGGTGCCCTGGATGTCATCGTGGACATGGGGCCTCAGCACCCCCCTCATTTAGGACTTCAGGGGGGTAATGAAGCTGGAAAAATATCTGAGAGAATAATTGGGGGGGGCGCAGAATCTAGTAATGAGCCAAAGCAGAGCCAACACCTGGCCAGCTGCTGCCCACGCTCTCCCCATGCCCTGGCCCTGCTCTGTCTCCCCACCACAGACAGGCCCATGAGGGCCCTGCAGACATGGGGGGTGAGCAGGCCTGCCGGTGCCGCCCTGTCCCCCAGAGTGTGCCACGCTGATGCAGGAGGCCAAGCGGCTGCTGGTGGAGTCCACGGACATCCTACAGGAGCTGGCGGCCAGCGAGGCCGCCGTCCATGCGCAGCAGCAGCAGATGTGTGACCACGTCTGTGCCACGCTGGCACAGAAAATGCGTGAGACAATGGAGCTGAAGGTGCTTGTCTGAGGGAGGGGGCAGGTGGGGGTCGGGGGAGGGGTCAGGAAGCAGGAGGTGATCGGAAACCTGGGGGATCGCCCTGGGGCTCCCAGGAGAGACTCACCATGGCCTATGGGCTGATGCGGGGCACGATCCATCGGTGCACCAAGTTCAACCACGAGATGTCCATCACCCACGGCCTCATCAAGGCAAGGCTGGGGCTGAGGTGCGGGGAGGGCCAGGCCTGGGGCGTGGGCCTCACTGGTCTCCATGCTGCTCCGCACTAGGGACCCATGACGAAGAATTATCTGGAGGTTCGAGAGAAGCTGGACAGACCCCTGGTGCGCGTTTACCAGAGACATGTGGGCACCCAACTCCCCGAGGCCCTGCGGCTGGCCCAGGTACACCAAGCGCTGCCCTGCCCCGCACAGCTGTTGGTCAGTTCTCTGGCAGGGCCCCTAGGAGGAGGCCCGGCCACACCTGTCTGATGCCCAGTCTGATCCCAGCTCCCTCCACCTCTGTGCCCCTCACCCCATGCCTGCAGGGTGTGGCCCCTCCCAGGAGTCTCGGGGAATCTCAGGAGCGCTGGAGCACGTCTGCCTTGCCCCTCCCAGGCTCCCACCTCTGCCCTGCCCAGACGCTGCTTCCTTTGCAGCACACCCAACCCTCCGTGGGCTGGTTCAGCCCTCCCTCACCAGGAGGCAATGCTTGTCTACACACATACAGGCACATGTGTATACATACATACATGCACACATGGGACCAGAGCAAAAGGACAGCAGGGAGGGCGCTTGCCTGGCACCCAGTCCATCTAGGTTGGCTCCCAGCACCCTCTGTGGGCTCCTGAGTACCACCAGGTGTGATTCCTGAGTGCAGAGCCCGGAGAAGTCCCTCAGCAGCGTCAGGTGTGACCCAAAAACAAACAAAACCCAAGCCAAAGACAACACGCGCACACACATGCATGAGTGCGCCGGCCTGCCGCTGTGCCACCCGCGTGCCCCTTCACAGGGCACTGACAAGCTGCAGCGCCACATCGCGCACATGGAGAAGAACCTGGAGGAGCTGCAGCAGATGCGCCAGAGCCTCGCACAGAGCCTCAACAGCAAGAAGATCGGGCAGGACGTGGACCACAAGGTGGTGCGACTGCGCCAGCGCCAGCGCTACCCAGGCGTGTGCACTGCGCAGGTGCGGCGCCCGGCCAGCGAACCGGACTTGGAGGCACGCTTGTAGCAGGCGTCGCCGTGCCTTCCCCCCACCCCCACCCCACCCACCCCCGCTTCCTGTGCCCTCCTCCTCCTCGCACCCGCCGGCGGGGCAATAATTAAAAATGACCGTAGCCGCCCAGCACTGGGCGCCTGGAGGAGCCTCCTTCCCGCGGCGCTTCACGGTGGAGCGAGGCAGCGAACTGAAGGTCCCCAGACGCTGGGCTGCAATCCCGGGTCCCGTCACGCCGGGGGGCCACTGGCCTTCTCCGATCTAGGGAATGGATGCACGGAGTGATAGCTCACTGTATAGGGCGTTTGCCTTGCATGTGACTGACCCAGGTTCCTGGCGGCCCAAATGGTCCCCCGAGCCCGCCGGGTGTGATCCCAAAGTGCAGAGCCAGGAGGAACCCCTGGCATCGCTGGGTGTGGCAGGAGAGGAGAGGGAAGGGGATGAAAGGGGGAAGAGGGAGGGACACTGGCAGCCCCCTTCTCAGAGCAGGTCCTGAGGAGGGAGGGCAATGTGCCTAAAGTACTCAGTGCCCTCTCCTCAGCTGAGGAAGCTGAAAAGAGTGCACTTAAGCAAGGTGCCAAGATCACAGCAGGAAGGTAGAAGGGCCGGGTGCCAATCCCAGACACCAGACACTGAAGAACTTGGGTTCACCTCTTAGGTGAACTTAGGATTCTCCAGGACTGACCCCCTCTTGCAGGTGAGTTCCTGCGGGTAGGAAGCATCTGTGAGAGCCTCACTCACCCACTCCCCATATCCTCTGCATTGGCCACTGTGTCCAGAGGGAAGTGTGACATGAAACACTGACCTGTACTCTGCGCACGGCATTGAGTCCTTGAAGTCTACTGCCCAGGGTCCCTGCACAGTCTAAGCAGAGAGCTGTTCTCCGTGGGTGGGGGCTGCAAAGGGGGGTGGGCACCCCCTTTGTTTCTGGAGACTGCCAGGTGTGTGCCCAGGGTCAGGAGTCTCCTCAGGTAGAGCGCCCTGTCCGGACGCAGAAGCCCGGCTTCCAGCCCCCATCACATGTTCCCTCCAGGAGCAATTCCCATGCACTCCCACATGTGGCACAACACCCCCAATAAAAGGAAAGTAAATAGGGGCTGGAGCTATAGCACAGCGGGTAGGGCGTTTGCCTTGCACGCGGCCAACCCGGGTTCAATTCCCAGCATCCCATATGGTCCCCTGAGCACCACCAGGAATAATTCCTGGGTGCAGAGCCAGGAGTAACCCCTGTGCAACACCGGGTATGACCCAAAAAGCAAAAAAAAAAAAGGAAAGTAAATAGCGCCTGCTCTGATCTGGACTGGCACACAGGCACGGCAAGGCTGGTGTGACACCTGTGCACAGGACTCCCAATTTGACCTCCTCCATGAAGTCCACCTGACCCTCTGGGGGCAGTGCTCACTTTCTCTTGGCATCTCAGGATTTCTGACGCCAAGCTGTGACGTTCTGCCCTCCTCGAGCTGGTGCCAAGGAATGGTGTGCGCAGAGTACAGGTCTGTGTTTCATGTCACAGATCCCTCCAGACACAGTGGCCGATGCAGAGGATATGGCAAGTGGGTGAGTGAGGCTCTCACAGATGCTTCCCACCCGCAGGAACTCACCTGCAAGGGTATGGGTCAGTCCTGGAGAATGTTCCATCCTCTTGTCACAGAGCTCACCGGTCACAAGGACACAGCATAGAGCAGAGGCGTGAGGGGCAGAGACCGGAGGGGGTGAGCTCGGGGCTGCGCCCTCATCTCTCCTGATTTTTTTTTCTTTTTGGGTCACACCTGGCGATGCTCAAGGGTTACTCCTGACTTTGCACTCAGGAATCACTCCTGGCAGTGCTCAGGGGACCATATGGGATGCTGGGAATCGAACCTGGGTCGGCCACATGCAAGGCAAACACCGTACCCACTGTGCTATCACTCCAGCCCCATCTCTCCTGATTTTGGCTTTGGGTTCACAGAGGGTGTGGGAGTGTGTGGCCTGCAAGCCCCAGTTCCCTCCCTGACACCTTCTTTCCCCCAAGCACTGCTGGGTGGGCCCCACCGCAGAAACAAGCAGAGACCACAGCAGCTCTTCCTGCACTGTGGGCACCTTGGCCCCCAGACCCCTGCGGAAAAGAACCCCAAGCCTCTCCCCGCCGACCACCTGCCCACAGACACACAGGCCTCCATCCCTATTTCTGGAAACAAGGAGAAAGAGGAGCCCCAGCCCGATGGTGAAGCGGTCCTCGGTCCAGAACTTCCAGTGCCTGAGCCACGCATCTCATACCCTCCCCTGGGTCCCAAGGGCAGTAGCAGGGACCAACCTCATCACACCAAGGGTGTCAGAGAAAGGCTGAGCTTTCCAGAGGAAGCAGGACCAACACACAGACACACAGACAGACGTGGAGGCACAGACACAAATACACTGACATACAGACAGACACAGACAACCCTGGTCAGCCAATACTCCAGGGCGGGATCCCAGGCAGACACTTGGAATAGGCCACCTGCTTGCACTGGAGGAAGCATTTGCATCAAAGCAATCACTTAAAGGTTCAATGAAGATGGCAATTTCTCACCTCTTGGCTGGACAGGAAGCTACTTGTTTTGAACACAGGAGATTGCTATCTCCGAAGCCACTGCAGATGTGAGGAAAGCATCCAAAGCAGATGTGAGGAAACGCCGAGTCACAGACTAAGCCCATTGGTTTCCCACCCACGCCAATTCTTGGTAGTCCCTCTAAACCGTTGCAGCACCCCCTGCCCAGAAACCACATGGGATTCAGCTGTGTCTCTTTAGCCGTGCCCCTGGTTGGGTACAACTTACCCACCCCAGTTTTGCTGACACAGTCAGCCACTCCACCCTGTCAGCACACCTCCAAGTTGATGGGGGCAGTCAGGGCACTCAGAGAGCTTGTTAGTGACACAGGTGTGGACAACCACAGGGAGTGGGTGAGACATGGGACTCTGAACAAGAAGGTAAGACATGGTGAGGGGCTGAGTCTGCGCTGTAAAGGCGGGAGGATGGCTGAGAAGGAGACTCAGTGACAGAACTCAAGCCGGCATGTGGTACCCTGGGCACCGTCCCCAGCATCACCAGCTGCCAGGGCTGCCATAGTGTGCACGCCAGCCAGAAAGCAGCCCGAGATGGTCCCTGTGCCAGGTGGGCGGGGGACAAGGACATGTGGGTGCTCGGCTGACTACTTTGTACTGAACAGTCACCTCAGCCCATTCATCTGGGAACCGATGGCTTCGGTCTCCTGAGACCCAGCTGGCTCTCACTGCGTAAAACGGGACCTGGCACTGCCATCCCTGTGAGATCAAGGTCAAGCACGCGCTGGAGCATTTAGTCGGCCTATTCCCGGGACTGCAGCACGGAGCATAAGGAGAGAGGTCGTCTCCCTGGAGGTGGGCACCAGCCCTGCTGTGGCCATGGTCAGGGGGGCTGTGAGATGAGCTCTTGGCAGAAAGTCCAAGGCCGCCTCCTACCACGCGCTGCTCGGGCATCAGCCCCTGATAATTAAACTCCCAGCTGCACCTCTTACCTCATGAGCAGCTTAACCTTGGATGAGATGAGGTCATCGGGGTGGTGTGAACCTTGGTTCAGCCCATTGGTGGCATCAGCCAAGGCCACTGCCTGCCCCTCCTTCTTGCGTCCACTCAAGAAACCGGCAGAGCTCACCACTCCAGGCACCACCCAGGCACCAACTGCTGACCACAGACCCCTCCCGGGACCCGCAAAGAGGTAGGTGTGTGGGAGTGTGCGGGAGACTCTGGGCCACCGACCGGCTGTAAGAACCTGTGGGTGCGGGAGCCTTGGTGTCCCCAGAGGGACAATGCTGTGGTGTGGAGAGCACAGAGGGACCCAGAATCCTAAGGCAGTGACACCCATCTCCCGAATAGCTGCTGTGCCTGTGTGCAGAAGCCCCTCCTGCACTGCCCGCGGGTTGTTTACTGCCTCTCCTTACAGAGGGGTGACCCATCACTCGAGCTCACAGAGTCTCTGTCCCTGGGCCTGACACCCAGACACTCTGACTCTGAAACCAGCGACATCGTGCTGATGGTCTGTGCCCTGCACGCATTGCCTGCCGGCAGCAGAGATGCAGTGCCGATTGCCACCTCCTTGCACCCCACCTCGCAGCCCAGTGTGGCCCTGAGCACGTCTCAGGAAGACAACTGGGGGCCAGGCTCGCTTCCCAGAACTGAGCAGTGTCCACCTGGCAGGGAGGCCCCAGAAGGGGGCCAAGCACTCCTGCCGCAGCTCTCATCTATTTGACCACGCTGGGGCTTGTGTGTGGCGGCAGCTTCTGAACCCAAATCCTTTTGCTTCGGGTGCTTTGGGTGGAGGGGAGTTGCTCCCAAAGGAGCTTGGGGAAATAGATGGCTCCCCGACTTGGAGTCAGGTTGAACCTGGGGCTCTAGCAAAGCCCAGGAGCCCCCTCCACCCTCTTCCATTCTGTGGAACTAAACGATGCTGACTCACACTAAGAGACAAGCTCGAAATGTGCAGGCACCAGCACTGCTCTGCGGGCGCCTGAGCCACGCCGTGCGCTCATGCCTTGCTCCCAACATAGGCACACATCCCTCTTTCAAGGCATCTTCAGACATTCACCAACAAAACAAAAGCGACATGGGGTTGAGACGCTTCCTCCCTGCGAGGCCAGAGCCACAGCACAGCAGGAGGGTGACCTGGTTCGATCCCCGACATCCCAGTGGTCCCCTGACCACCACCAGGAGTGATTCCTCAGCAGAGCCAGGTGTAACCCCTGAGCATCACTGGGTGGACGTCATCCCTTTAAAAAAAAAGAAAAGAAAAAAAGAAGCTTCCTCACTGCACCTCACACCAGACCAGGCTAAAACATTCGCCCACCACAGGCAGCAAGGGCCTCTCAAGCACTCCCAGAAACCCTGGTTTTGCTTTGTGAGGAACCTCAGCACCCTCTCCACAGCGCAGTAGCTGCACGCTCCAGCCGGGGCCTTGTGAGGACGCTTGTCTCTGGGGTGAACGGGTGTCAGTGTTGACCTGAGCTTCCCTGACAGCAGTGAC